GAGCATTCGCTGCGTAATACATATACTGGAATAGTTGGCAGTTCATTCCACTGTGGCGACCCTCGATAAATAAGGGACTAAACCGAAGGGAAATTAATGAATGAATAAAAATTCAGTCAAGATCATTTCTTTTGCAGAATTAGCTTTTTAAGGCCTTATAGAAGAACGATCTTGTAATGCTGCGGTCACATTAGAGTTTGAGCATGTGAATTTCTGTCATAAGGCGCTGCGAAAAGGGGCGAGATCAAACAAGATGATTAGACATTAAAAAAGCGAGCAATTGGTCCATATTTTAATTTTATGTACAAAGAGGTCATGTCTTTGATAGGTCTTATGCAATCATGTGATGTGAATTTGCTGATCAGAGTTCACCTATATTGAACTGTGCAACACAGTGACATGCGAAACTTGTCACACAAGCTTGCAGTTATTGGTAGGGCCAAACAAAATCTGCGGACATTTTTTTGCTACTTCTGCTGAGAATTAAAAAAAAAAATCTGTGAATTTATGCAGAACTATTTTGGGAGTATCATAACTAAAAACTTAATACATGAAATACATGAAATGTTATTTGTTCTTCTCTTTTATCTAGTAGATAAAGAGACAAACTATATCAAACTCATTTTAAAAAAAGATTTTTTCACATTTTAACTTATCGAAACTTGACATTTTGTGACAGAAGCTAACGGTCTAATCCAATTTAATGACTTATGCTAAGCTAAGTGTCAGGATTCTGCCACTTTGGTCTTGGTAACTCTTGTTTTGGTGGCAGAGTCGGGACACTGGTCCTGTCTTGTCTAGTATGTTGTGCTCGGCTCAAATTTTCTCATTTTCTGTCTTTTGTCTTTGTATGAGCGCCATCTTGGCTAGGCTCGGAATGCACGCTATCATCCTGGTGTGTTCGTTGTTTTGTTTGCGGCATGGTGTTTTTGTTCTCAGCGTCTCAGTCTAGTTGGTTTTCGTTGCTACTGGGATCGGAACGTGCATGACGCATGTGTGAGTGCACGGTAAGCGTTTTATCTAAAAATAATAGTTTATTGTTTATTTAATGTTTACAGTGTAAATCCATCTAGATCCACTTGTTTGGTAAACAAAGCAAAAATCAAAAAAAGAAAATATTACAAATTGTATTGTAAATTAATAAAACGAACACTATTAGTCAATAATATTACTGAAATTAATTAAAAAAAACAAAATAAATAAAAATTAACACACATTTACATTTACATTTTACATTTATTTATTAAGTAAATAAATAGACACAACGATGGGCTAAAAATTTGCGGAAATCTGTGGATTTCTACGTGCGCAGATTCCGTGTGGGCCTAGTTATCGGTATCAGTAAAAAAAAAATCCATATCGGTGCATCCCTATTATATGCTGTCATGGATTTGCAATGAAAAAATGTCATTATAATGGAAGTCAATAGGGCAAAAACAGCCACCATCATAACAAAAGGGTAGTAATTTTGCTCAGAGAGTATGAAGTTTTTGAAAAAATCCTAAGCATTTTTCCAAAATATCTGTCAAAATAAGATTGGTCAGCAAAAATCATTCCATTTGCTTAAAAACAGATAACGCTGTGGCCAAATACAGACTTAAAATCATCCCAGAGTGGATGAAAACACCCCCAACAGCACACAAGGCTTAAGTTTAGGAAAACAGAAATAATGTAGAGTGAAGCAAATACATGTGAAAATGTGTGTGTTTTCAACAAAACTGTTGATTAACCTCCTTGTAAACAATACCTGAAGTAGCTGTGTGATTTTAGTTAAGTGTGTGTGTTCAGTTTTGGTGCAGTCAGTCTCTCTGTTACTCTCTTGACTGGCATGAGGCCGGGAACATTGCTCCATCTCTTCCTGCGATTGGCTCACTGCTAACCACAGAAACAGGAAATGACCTCGCCTTCTCAGTCTCTGTTAAACGATACGTCACAGCTCAAGCTGAAGCCATGATGTGATTCTGGGTCAGTTCTCCACAAACTGGAATGAAACTTAAAGTTGTGAAGGGCTGCTTTGTGTGTTTCATGGGTGTGTTTGTATTAGAATGAGCCCTGTGTGTGTGTGTGTGTGTGTGTGTGTTTGTCCAGGAATGTGTGTGACAATGTTTTATTTGCTCAAACTGAAGGTATTCTGCAGACTTCAGTGCATTTCTGGCATTTCCAGGAGTTTGAAGGATTCATGCAGCTGCTGAGAGTCTAATAGTGAGAAACTGAGAGATGTTGTGAGATGAGGTGGAAGATGGGCCGTGTCCCAATTATATGCATGCGGTCTGTCCTAAATAGGATCAGGGAGGTTTATTCTTGGGATACCTGGGTAATCTACTATATCTGCCAAAATATCAGACATGAAGCAATTATGCCACACTAAAGAAAGTCCAGCAGTTTTTACAATAATTTAATGTAATATGAGTTTTTTTTTTTTTTTTGCTGAGATGATAACTTGACATGGCTTGGTCATGTGACAACCTCATGATGATGATGATGAGCTCATGTGCTGATAATATAGCACACACTACTCAACAAAAGTCTTGTCGTACCTCCCAGTTGTAAGAGCAACAAATAATAACTTGACTTCTTGTTGATCATTTGGAAAAGTGGCAGAAGGTAGATTTTTCAGATGAATCATCTGTTGAACTGCATCCTAATAATCACAAATACTGCAGAAGACCTAATGGAACCCGCATAGACCCAAGATTCTTACAGAAATGTATCAAGTTTGGTGAAGGAAAAATCATGGTTTGGGGTTACATTCTGTATGGGGGCGTGCGAGAGATCTGCAGAGTGGATGGCAACATCAACAGCCTGAGGTATCAAGATACTTGTGCTGCCCATTACTTTACAAACCACAGGAGAGGGCAAATTCTTCAGCAGGATAGCAATTCTTCTAATACTACAGCCTCCACATCAAAGTTCCTGAAAGCAATGAAGGTCAAGGTGCTCCAGGATTGGCCAGCCCAGTCACCAGACATGAACATTATTGAGCATGTCTGGGGTATAAGGAGGAGGCATTGAAGATGAATCCAAAGAATCTTGATGGACTTTATTAATAAGTTATTTAAGTCATTGCAGTGATGTATGAATGCAGTCCTCCAAGCTCATGGGAGTCATACATAATAATCATTATTTTTCCGCTGCACCATGACTTTATATTCTATACTGTACATTATTCCTGTTAAGTGACAAGACGTTTGTCTTAGCAAAGTCAGACCTTGTCTTAGCAAAGTCAGATGAAATCATTAAAAATCAAGACATGGTCATATTTTATTTGGTAAAATAAGCGTAATCTAGAGGCCTTTGCCTTAAACTGATACCAATTGATCAACTAGAAGTCAAGTTATTATTTGTTGTTCCTAAAACCTGGATAGACGACAAGACTTTTGTCAGGTAGTGTACTCTAGTCTGAATTGTAGTGCTGCATGTTTTATTCTAGTTCATAAAATAAAAAAATAAAAATAAAAAAATAAATAATAATAATAATAAACTGTTGGCATGGACCGCAATGAAAACTTCTGGAAGCACTTGTCCAAAAACTAAAACCAAAAATGATTAAGTATTTAAGAAATTTGTGAGACATTTAAAAATTTAACCCAATAACTTAAATTAAGCTGATTTAAAAACCAGACGCCAATAAAATAAACTAATTTTCTTGATAGTGAAGGAGATGAGAGGTATCACTTTACCAGCACAGTAATACTATTGCAAGCAGCAGGAACTATACTACATAGAAATGTCCAGTCTGCAAATTATTTGAGTGGGCTTTTTTTCTTTTCTTTTTCGATGTACAGTTCAACTGTAGGTAAGAAGCTACATGTACATGAGCAGAACTTACAAAGAGTGCATGGTTTTCACTACGTTCATTCTTCCATGGCGGGGCGCGACACCAAAGTTCATCCCACCTCGCCTACATTATAGCTTCTCATTCAAAACATTCAGTCAGTTGTTGTTTTTTAGCGGGTTATAATCGCACCAAAGCGTATAAAAATTGGATAACAGCGCAAACGTTTTCTGTAATCGTAGTAGTGCTGTGCGTTATTTGTTTAACGCTTTAAGGTGACGTGCTGACTGACTGACTGACTGACTGACTGACTGACTGACTGACTGACACGGCTGCGCACTGCGTGAGGCCAGCAAACACAGTGTAGCTATGATGAACAGCAGTTATGATAAACAGTTTCCATAAGTATACTTTATAGATAAAGGTCTTTGTTTCTGCATACAATGACGTTATCTTGCTGTAGTTTATGGCCGTTTCACTTTACTTTGGGACGCATTAATGCCGCTCTGTAGGTATACTGAAGACATTCATAAATATTCCTAGCAAATCGAATAAATGTTGGAGACTTTGTTGTTAGATAAACGCACTAAATCGCACTTCAGCAGTGTTTATTTGAGAGGGTGCAAGTTTTGTGCACGAACGGGGGAAATCGGCAAAGAGATTTTCATGCTCGTAATACATAAATGTGATTGTGAGTTGTAATACTGCGCACACGACATTTGTCATTAAAATAATAACGCCATAGGTAGTTGGTAGATTTGTGTAAAAGGTCTGCCGCCACAGCAGGAAAAAAATCCTTGAGGAAACACTGGAGTGGATTATTAAAGTGCTTCAAGTACTTTGACCGCTGCACAAGCACAAACTAGTCGAAGTTGGCTTATATTTTTATCCATTTATCTCTTTCGGATAAAACCAAAAATGCCATTTTCGGTTGATAATTTTGGTACATGGTACAGCGCAATGGGTAGTGCTGTCGCCTCACAGCAAGAAGGTTGCTGATTCGAGCCTCGCCCGAGTCAGTTGGCATTTCTATGTAGAGTTTGCCTGTTCTCCCCGTGTTAGTGTGGGTTTCCTTTGGGTGTGCCAGTCGCCCCACTCATTTGATTTAACAACTAATTTTTTTTTTTAAGTGAAGTGTTCAAGTGAATTCAGTTTGTCTCTCTTGCTAAACATGTTTGCTCTTTAAGGAAGATCTCTCAAAGCTGTTGTGTTTCTGTTTGTTTTAGGTGGGTACTGAGTTTTGTGCCCTCTCTTGCGTCTGCCGCTGCTTGGACCTGCTTATAGTACCAGCCTCAGCTTTCCCGCCTGCTTGCTGCCCAAATCAGTGAACAAACTGCACCAGACCTCCTTGAACGACGCCTCAAACACAAAACAGCCAATCAGAGTCCAGGATTTTTTTTTATTGTTTTGCTTTTGGATTCCATCACTGCAGTTCACTTCAACATTTTTCTTTTTTTTTTTGTTCTTCTCGCTTTGGCCTGGTGTGCAAACCGTGGAGCTTCATGATCTAAGGCAGAGAGAGGAACGTTGGTAAAAAGTGACAAACATAAAGCACTTTTGGGATTGTAAGGATTCGAAGTCTAAAGCGTGCGGAGATGGCGATGAATATGGCTCACATGCGGGACACCAAATGGCTGACGCTGGAGGTGTGTCGAGAGTTTCAGAGGGGAACGTGCGCTAGATCTGATGCCGAGTGCAAGTTTGCGCATCCCGCCAAGAGCTGCCAGGTGGAGAACGGCCGGGTCATCGCCTGCTTTGACTCGCTGAAGGTAAGAAAATGCTCAGACTCAAGTGTGTGTGTGAGAGTGTGCGATTGCTGCTCACATTTACAGGTATTACAGCTATAAAGATGGGCTTTTATTGAAGTCTCTCATCTGTCTTTACTGAGTAAGGCCACTTAGGTCGTTTTGGTGTTGTTTTTGTTTTTGGTGTTTTGTTTTGTTTTGTTTTCAGTCTTCATCTTTGTTTTGTTTTGTTTTAATTTTTGTTTACGTGTTCTTCTTTTTATTCATATTTATTTTTTGTTTTGTTTTTGTTTTTATCTTCGTATTTGTTTTGTTTGGTTTTGTTTTCATGTTCATCTTTGTTTTTATTTGTATTTATTTTTTGTTTTGTTTTTGTTTTCATCTTTGTCTTTGTTTTGTTTTTTGTTTAGTTTTTTGTTTTGTTCTTTTTTCTATGTTTTAAAAATTGTTGGTCTATATTACAAAATTGTTTATTTTATTTTATTAGTAAAAGTAGAATGTTCTGTCTCCTTATCATTTTTATAAGTTTTTGTTACTCATTATTTCAATTCACAATCATTAATTAATTATATTTTTGAATTTACAAAAAATTCGCCATAATTGTGTATTTTTATTTAGCTTTTTAAAATAAAAAACACAACAATTACTATATTAAACCTTTATTATTATGTTTACTTTAGTCATATTTGTTTTTTCATAGTTTTTATATTTAGTACATTTAGGTAATTTATTTTTATAATTAAATAAATAAATTGCATTAATTCTGTGCATTGTTATTTTTGTATTTTATTTAGCTTAGTTTTTTAAAAAAACACAATAATTACTACAAATATTTGTAAATTTGAGCAAAAATCAATTGTTTTTATCATTTTTTATTAGTTTTTGTTGTAAGCTAGACTACAACTCTTTTATTTTTAAATTAGCATGAATTAATTCTCTATGTTTTTTTATGTTTTAGTACAATTTAGAATTATGTGCCTTTTATTATTATTTTTTTTGTATTTTTGTTTAGCTTTCTTAAAATGAAAACACAATAATTACTTCATTTATTTTTTGATTTAATATTTTTCTATTTTTCATAGTTTCTTTGTTCATAGTTTTATATTTGGTATATTTTTTATTATTATTTTTTTATAAAAACACACAATAATTACTATATTTAACTTGAATCAGTATTTTTTTTTTCAGAGTTACTTTTCTTATAGTTTTTATATTTAATACTTTTAGGTATTTTATTTTTATAATTTAATAAGCCTGAGAATGTTGCAAGTTAGACTCAAACTGAACTGGCGTTAAGTATCAAAGCATGTCTGCCAATCACAAAGCCACCGCCAAAGACATTTCCTTATGCAAATATAAAGTTGTTTGTTCATTTTATCATTATTTTTAAATGAGGTTTGGTTGGTCTGCTCATGTCACTAGTCAAACAGCCTTTTTCTGCACATGAAGATTACCAAGATTAGTTTCCATATTATCTGTCGTCATAAATGGATCAGTGTTTCACCCTAGAATGACACAGCTGTAAAATGTTTAGCTGTAAAATTCCTTCTTTCCACTTGGGATGCCAACATGAGCATTCCTCGCAGTATATAAAACGTAAACGAACTGCATTGTAAAGCCCAGAGAATTTTATATGGGGGTTTCCTTTACAGGCGTAGTGGTCTAGACATTAAGGCTAATGGGTGGAGTCTGTCGCTGTGGCAATGCAAGTTTTGTTGACATTAAAACTGTGATTGTTGTCACAAAGGCAAACTCTCATGTAAAATAAAGCAGTTTCTTGGCCTTTTTTATAAAGTTGAAGTCAAAATTGCCCACCTGAATTATTAGCCCCACTGTTTATTTTTTGCAACACTTTTCCCAACATAGTTTAATAACTCACTTCTAATAACTGATTTCTTTTATCTTTGCCATGATGACAGTAAATAAAATTTTACTAGATATATTTCAAGACACTAGTATACAGCTTATTATGACCTTTAAATGCTTAATTAGGTTAACCAGGCAGGTTAAGGTTATTAAGCCCCTCTTACACATACAGAACTTTCCGGAACATTACCGTCAATTTTCCGGAAAGGGATCATGTGTGAACAGGCCTTTTTTTAAAATTCGTTCTGGCAGTTTTCTGGAAAGAGAAGTCATAACATTACCGGTAATTTGCTGGAATGATGCGCTGTGTGAACGCAGAAGGAGTCGAAAGGAGTGCATTCACGATTAGAACGTGCTGACGTGAGACATTTACTCCAGCCAATCAGAACATTTAGAAGCATTCACATCCACGCTGTTTATGAAAATAAAAGCCTTTGAATAGTTTTCCAGACACATTTAGCTGCTAGATGTTATTGAGACAACATTTCTATGTTCCTTCTCAATGCCAACTGTGTAATAAATTATTAATAAAAAGCAAATTCATCGATGCTTAGCTCCACCGATCTCAAACCATGCAAGCTAGAGGCGACAGCGGACAGGGGAAAAAAACTTAAGGATTGGCTAAAGTGAAGAAAAAAACCTTGGGAGAAACCAGACTCAGTTGGGCATGACCATTTTAATTTCTCCACTGGCCAAACGTCTTGTGCAGAGCTACAGTCTTAGCGGCAGAGGCTGGAAGCTGGCCTCAGCGAAGACTCGTCTCTCCCTGGAGCGTCACTGGAATCAGTCTCATGCTTAGGATACGGCCTGGTCCAGGATATGGAAATCTCCACTCCTCCATGACCACCGCAGCAGCTGCTCAGGATACGGCCTGGTCCAGGATATGGAAACCTCCACTCCTCCATGACCACCTCTCTCCACTCCTCCATGACCACTGCAGCAGCTGCTCAGGATACGGCCTGGTCCAGGATATGGAAACCTTGGGATCATCTTGTTGCTGGTTTTGGATCAAATCAGTGACTCTGCATAGTCAGAGGGCCTCGGGAAGAGTATACCCCGGTGGAAATGGACAATAAAGAGAATAATTAGCGTAGCTGCTGTTCATAGTGTATATAAACAAGAAACATGTTTTGCTGCGCTGGTTAAAAGATTCTTCACCTTCCAATAGAAACGATTAAAGTAAATGATTTAAATATATTTATATGTGTTTTTATATTCTGGGTAAGACATAAGACTAAAAAATCTGAAATAAAAAATATTCTCATGCCGGCAGTTCCCATAATTCTAATAAGTAGCCCAAACTGTCTGTCAACAAATGTAGATTTGTACAACGGTGCATGCGCACCACGTGTTCATGTGCACACGAGACAATCACAGCGGTAAAATCAAATGCTGAATCAAAACTTTTTAAAATCCTGAATTAATATTGGAGTTAGTTTTGCAAGCTGGAGAGAGGAAGACAACATGACTGAAAAGTGTTTCTTTCAGACGGGTAATGTTATGTTTTAAAAGTATTTTAGTCAAAGCTGATGTAGAGTATGTTGTGTTATGAATGGGTTATATGCACAGAAGTGTTGTTCAGCCACTGAAATCTTCCAGTGAAAAATTGATGTGACTATATTCAATTTCATATGGTTCTTTGACAGCATCAATAATGTTGATTTTTATTTAGTTTAACAACAAAAAATCAGTGAATAGTGCTTTTCCACCTAGCCTGCTTTACTGAGATAAAGTTGCTTTTATATTCACATTGGTTCATTTTCGAACAATGACAGCCTGTGACACGCTCCTGATATTGTTTACTATGCTACTCTGAATATTCGCTTTGAAATAACATGTTAGTGTGGCTTAGAAATAAATGTCAATCCTGCATGCAGCATGCAGTAGTCGCTTTAAGACAAAGCGAATGAGAGAGTGAGACTGTTATGACAAGTTTTGCTCACTACACAACTGAAAACGTCCTTGATATAAGAAAAAAAGTTATTTGTTCTGGCGGATGACATGAAATAGTGGGTTGCCTGCTGTCATCTTTAAGGTGCATGCGTTCGTGTTTCAAAAGGCATGGCTTTAGACAGCAAAGGGGGGACTGTGTTTCAAATATATTATGCTAACCCAAAAGCATTTTGGCAGATATATTGCACCTTTTAAGCCTGGTTTATACTTCTGCGTCTAGTGACCGGCGTAACCAATGGCGCATGCAACGCACGTAGCTGTGCATTTATACATCTGCGTGCTGTCTCTGTTGGTCTGCAATACCACTTCCAAAACGCTAGTTGGCAGTGAGGTGTAAATGTGTCTCTGTGTCGAGTTTTTTCGCTGCTGTTTTGTTCTTTCTGAACGCTTCCTGAATGTACAAGTGGCTCAAACTCTAAAAACTTTTAACTATGGGGTAAACACAAAACAAAACTATCCATCCAGAGCTCCTTCACGGGACTCTGCAATTGTAAACAATCGCTCCATTGGGTTCGCGCGGCTCTCGGTCCCGCCCAGACTCGTCAGCGCTACCAAGCCGACCAATCACAGAGCTTGCGCTATGCGTCGTTGCGATGTGTAGTTACATTTTTTGAGAGGTGCACGTCAGAGACGCCGACGGCCACAGCGTAGGGCTATGCGTCAACGCCATAGCATACACGTGCGTTTAATGCAGAAGTATAATTCAGCCTTAAGGGGGCTTGTAATATTGACCTTAAAATGCTTGATTTTAAAAAAAAAACTGCTTTCATTCTAGCCAAAATAAAACCAATCCAGAAAAAAAGGAAATACTGTAAAAAATTCCTTTGCTCTGTTAAACATCATTTAATATTTGATAAAGGGTGAATAATTTTGACTTCGGCTGTAACCGTGAACTCTTAAAGCGAACGCAACTGAAAAACATTTCAACAAATGTTCCAAATCCAGGTCTCTCAGAGGAGAAGACTAAACATAAGCTGATTTTCTGCCTTGTAATAACACACTGAATCTCTTATGTTTGGACAAGACGGCCTGAGGTCTCGTGTGCTTGAGCGTTTCTGAGTCAAGCGCTTCTCATTTCTGCACTTTTGCTTCAGTTCCTCGTTTAGTTTGGAGTCAAAGAGACACTCAGTTCAGCTCATGTGCTCTGAAACCACCAGAACACGAGCCTGGTTGAATATAACTGCCAAAACTAGTGTTCACCATAA